TGATGTAACATTTTCTACCTTGATACCGTTTTACTACCGTGATGCGACATTTTCTACCTTGATACCATTTTACTACCGTGATGAAACATTTTCCTACCTTGATATCTTTTTACTGCCGTGATGTGACATTCTCTACTTTGACATCATTTTACTGCCGTGATGCAATATTTTCTACCTTGATATCATTTTACTACTGTGATGAAACATTTTCTACCTTGATATCATTTTACTGCCGTGGTGTGACATTTTCTACCTTGATATATTTTTACTGCCGTGATGTGCCATTCTCTACCTTGACATCATTTTACTGCCGTGATGTAACATTTCTACCTTGATACCATTTTACTACCGTGATGGGACATTTTCTACCTTGATATCATTTTACTACCGTGATGTAACATTTCTACCTTGATATCGTTTTACTACCGTGATGCGACATTTTCTACCTTGATACCATTTTACTACCATGATGAAACATTTTCCTACCTTGATATCTTTTCACTGCCGTGATGTGACATTCTCTACCTTGACATCATTTTACTGCTGTGATGCGACATTTTCTACCTTGATATCATTTTACTGCCGTGATGAAACATTTTCTACCTTGATATCATTTTACTGCCGTGATGCAACATTTTCTACCTTGATATCATTTTACTGCCGTGATGAAACATTTTCTACCTTGATATCATTTTACTGCCGTGATGCAACATTTTCTACCTTGATATCATTTTACTGCCGTGATGCGTCATTTTCTACCTTGATATCATTTTACTGCCGTGATGCAACATTTTCTACCTTGATATCATCTTACTGCCGTGATGCGACATTTTCTACCTTGATATCATTTTACTACCGTGATGCGATCTTTTCTAACTTGATATCCTTTTACTGCCGTTCTACCTTAATATGATTTTACTACTGTGATCTGACATTTTCTACCTTGATATTATTTAACTGCCGCGTGATGTTTCATTTTCGACCTTGATATCTTTGTTCTTCCGCGATGGAACATTTTGCTGCCCTGATAACTTTACTACCGTGATCAAGCATTCTCTACATTGATATCATTTTACTGTAGCGATGTAACATTTTCTACCTTGATACTATTTTACTACCGTTATGGAGCATTTTTGTAATTTTGATATATAACATTTTCTACCTGTAACATTTTCTAAGTTGAAGTAAATTAGTTTATACGTGGTGGTCATTTTTGTTAAGATACTTTTTACACTAGTGAGCAGCTGTAAGCA